CATATACTCATACACTTATGTTTTTTTTTTAAACAGACACATGCAAAAGATATTTTATTAGATTTTCTTTTTTTAAGGAAGAAAAGGATAAAAAATAGGAGACCTCTAAACTTAAGCTATATTACAAATATACAAAGAAAGTTGATATATTTTTACACCCAAAGAAAAACAGTAACCATTAAATTGTTACATTTGCTGTAATCTATTTGGTTTCAATCCAGTTTTTTCTCTGCGTGTATATAACAAAGTGTATAAAAAAGTATGCGTGTTATTTTCATCATATTCCTTACTAAATTCATTGTTGTGGTATGTTTTTTTAAGTTGTTAATATTTTTTTCTTTATCTTCCAAAGCTTCAACAGTTAGACAAAGTTTTTTTAGAGGTTTCTTTGAAAAAAAAAATTTGATATACATATCATTTTTTGTGCCTTAAATTACTTTCCTTTTTCACTCATATGTATAAGTTTTAACATAAAGCAACAAAGTTAAAGAAAAGGATATAAGCACCATAACGTTACTAAATATTATTGCAGGAAACATTTAAACCCTTGTTAAAACGTAAATACTTTGAAATTTTTCTCTTTACTTGTTGTGCGTTTCGTTTTTTTACTTATTTGACAGTTATTTAACACTGTATGATTTATAAACTCATTTTATGGATGTTAAAAAGATTTTTTTTTTAGCAGGATTTTATAGTTTTAAAACAGCCTGCATGAATTTTTCCTTCGAAGGACTTTAATATGTTAGGAAAGCAAATTTTATTGAACTTTTTTCTTAACATGTATTGATGATTAAGAGGCTGAAAAAAATGGGGTAAAAAAGCAAAAATGTAACAAGATGTGGCATTAAAATACATTGTTTATTTTGTAGTACTGTCATGAACTTGATGGAAGAGATTTTCATAAAATATAGCAGACAGTCATTATTTACAGAATAAAAAAGTATGAAAGACTATTTAATTTTTTTTCTATAGAATAGTTTTTTTTCAGTTTTAGTTCCAGTTCAGTTCTAGTTCTGTTCTAGTTCAGTTCTAGTACAGTTCTGGTTCAGTTCTAGTTCAGTTCTAGCTCAGTTCTAGTGCAGTTCTAGTTCAGTTCTAGTTCAGTTCTAGTTCAGTTCTAGTTCTAGTTCAGTTCTAGTTCAGTTCTAGTTCAGTTCAGTTCTAGTACAGTTCTGGTTCAGTTCTAGTTCAGTTCTAGTTCAGTTCTAGTTCAGTTCTAGTTCAGTTCTAGTTCAGTTCTATTCTAGTCAGTTCTAGTTCAGTTCCTAGTTCAGTTCTAGGTCAGTTCTAGTTCAGTTCTATGTGTCAGTTCTAGTTCAGTTCTAGTTCAGTTCTACGTTCGGAGTTCAGTCTAGTTCAGTTCTAGTTCAGTCTCTAGTAGTTCTAGTTCAGTCTAGTTCAGTTCCTAGTTCAGTTCTAGTTCATGTCTAGTAGTTCTAGTTCAGTTCTAGTTCAGTTCTAGTTCAGTTCTAGTTCAGTTCTAGTTCATGTTCTAGTTCAGTTTCTAGTTCAGTTCTAGTTTCAGTTCTAGTTCAGTTCTAGTCAGTTTCTAGTTCAGTTCTAGTGCAGTTCTAGTTCAGTTCTAGTTCCAGTTCTAGTCAGTTCTAGTTCGTATAGTTCAAGTTCTAGTTCAGTTCTAGTCGTAGTTCAGTCTAGTTCAGTCTAGTCAGTTCTAGTTCAGTTCTGTTCAGTTCTAGTTCAGTTCTAGTTTCAGTTCCTAGTTCAGTTCTAGTTCAGTTCTAGTTCAGTTCTAGTTCAGTTCTAGTTCAGTTCTAGTTCAGTTCTAGTTCAGTCTATTTCTAGTTCAGTGTCTAGTTCAGTAGTTCTAGTTCAGTTCTAGTTCAGTTCTAGTTCAGTTCTAGTTCAGTTCTAGTTCAGTTCTAGTTCAGTTCTAGTTCAGTTCTAGTTCAGTTCTAGTTCAGTTCTAGTTCAGTTCTAGTTCAGTCTAGTTCAGTTCTAGTTCAGTTCTAGTTCAGTTCTAGTTCAGTTCTAGTTCAGTTCTAGTTCGTTCTAGTTCAGGTTCTAGTTCAGTTCTAGTTCAGTTCTAGTTCCTTCTAGTTCAGTTCTAGTTCAGTTCTAGTTCAGTTCTAGTTCAGTTCTAGTTCAGTTCTAGTTCAGTTCTAGTTCAGTTCTAGTTCAGTTCTAGTTCAGTTCTAGTTCAGTTCTAGTTCAGTTTCTAGTTCAGTTCTAGTTCAGTTCTAGTTCAGTTCTAGTTCAGTTCTAGTTCAGTTCTAGTTTCAGTTCTAGTTCAGTTCTAGTTCAGTTCTAGTTCAGTTCTAGTTCAGTTCTAGTTCAGTTCTAGTTCAGTTCTAGTGTCAGTCTAGTTCAGTTCTAGTTCAGTTCTAGTTCAGTTCTAGTTCAGTTCTAGTTCAGTTTCTAGTTCAGTTCTAGTTCAGTTCTAGTTCAGTTCTTAGTTCAGTTCTAGGTTCAGTTCTAGTTCAGTTCTAGTTCAGTTCTAGTTCAGTTCTAGTTCAGTTCTAGTTCAGTTCTAGTTCAGTTCTAGTTCAGTTCTAGTTCAGTTCTAGTTCAGTTCTAGTTCAGTTCTAGTTCGTTCTAGTTCAGTTCTAGTTCAGTTCTAGTTCAGTTCTAGTTCAGTTCTAGTTCAGTCTAGTCTAGTTCAGTTCTAGTTCAGTTCTAGTTCAGTTCTAGTTCAGTTCTAGTTCAGTTCTAGTTCAGTTCTAGTTCAGTTCTAGTTCAGTTCTAGTTTCAGTTCTAGTTCAGTTCTAGTTCAGTTCTAGTTCAGTTCTAGTTCAGTTCTAGTTCAGTTCTAGTTCAGTTCTAGTTCAGTTCTAGTTCAGTTCTAGTTCAGTTCTAGTTCAGTTCTAGTTCAGTTCTAGTTCATTCAGTTCAGTTCTAGTTCAGTTCTAGTTCTAGTTCTAGTTCAGTTCTAGCTTCACGTTCTAGTTCAGTTCAGTTCAGTTCTAGTTCAGTTTCCTAGTTAGTTCTAGTTCAGTTCTAGTTCAGTTCTAGTTCAGTTCTAGTTCAGTTCAGTTCTAGTTCAGTTCTAGTTCAGTTCTCGTTCAGTTCTAGTTCAGTTCTAGTTCAGTTCAGTTCTAGTTGATTCTAATGCAGTTCTAGTTCAGTTCTGTTGCAGTTCTAGTTCAGTTCTTGTTAGTTAGTTTTATAAATTTAATAAACTTAATTATATTTTAAACAATTTCTTATACATATTTAAGCACCCATTTTAAACGTAAATTTTCATTTCCATTTACTGAGTTTTAATTTGAAAAGTACCAATTTTATATCCTGCATTGCGACATAAAAATAACTTTTGTAAAAACATACCAAGTTTTTTTTACTATAACGCTATTATGTAGCAACAACAAAACTACAGCAGACTTTGCCAAAATAAGAAAAAAAAATTGAGAATAAAGGCGAAAAATACTCAGCAGGGAATTAAATGAAAAAGTTTAAGAATCCTCCAATAAAAATATACAAAGCGGGAGAAAAAGAAAAAAAAACAAATATACAAAAATTAAATTAATTGAACAATGCTTTAACAACAACATAAAAATCAACAAAATGTTGTGAAAAAGTTCATTTGCACCGCAATACTCGCACACACTTAAGTGTACTTCCCATTTCAAACCCACACAAATAAACATATAAACATGTATGTGTATGTATAAATGCAAGGGACTTCTTCTTTCAACCTCTCTTTTACACTTACGTTTGCTTGAAAGAAACTTGAAATATTTAAACGGAAAGCAAACGTTAAGTAAGAATGTACAAAAGTGTAAGAGAGTTAAAATACACTCAAGTGCATTTTGAAAACAAAACTGACAGGACACTTAAAGTAAAACAACAAGAGACAAAGACAATTTTTTTTTTTTTTTGTATAATTTTATATGAAAATAAAAATCAAGAGATTTTTAAATGTTCGTTGAATAAAATAATAGTAAATGAGGGATTGTGCATATGGATGTCCTTCACTTATGAAAAGAAAAACATTGACCAGAAGGACATGTGTGTAGCTGTTGTTGTTTAAATGTTTACATTGACATATGCCGCGAAAAACAAAGAAAAAAACAAGTAAGAAAGTATAGTCGGGCGTGGCCGACCATATGATACCCTACACCAATTATGAATATTAAATGTGATTTATTTTTCATAATAAAGCATTTATCTTCAATATTCCCTTGTTCCGATACATTTAAGCAATTTATGGATGAAAAACTAATTTTCTGAAAGAGGCTTTATATGGGGGCTAGGGGCAAATATGGACCAAGCCCGATAACATTTTGTGAATATATTTATATTTACATAATATTTTATTGTGCTGAATTTCATCGCGATATTTGTGTTTATAAGTTAATTTGGGACATTCAAGTAATTTTCTGAAGGGGACTTTGTATGGGAGCTAGGGTCAAATGGGGTCCGATCTTTATGAAATTTGGCAGGGTCATCAAGACTTCTATAAAACTTAGTTGTGCCGTAATTTATCGATATATCTGTATATTTAACATAATTATGAGCTCAGAAGCCCTTTTCGGGGGGTTCTATTCTATGGGGGCTAGGTGAAATAATGGACCGATTTTAACCATTTTCCTTGGGTCAAATAAAACGTGCGTGCCAAATTTCATCCAATTATCTTGAAAATTGCGACCTGTACCTTGCGCACAAGGTTTACATGGACAGCCAGCCAGACGGACGGACGGACGGACGGACGGACGGACAGACATAGCTTAATCGACTCAGAAAACGATTCTAAGCCGATTGGTATACTTTAAGGTGGGTCTAGGACGAATATTTTTGTATGTTACAAACATCAGCACAAATCCGATATACCCTCCCCACTAAAGTGGTGTAGGGTATAAAAACAAAATTCTGCTAAAGGTTTTTTTACGTTTTGCCCATGGTGGTTGTCTTAAGAGCTGGAAGAGAAAGAGAGAGAGACGCGATCTTTTTTTATAAATTTTTATAATTTTACACAAATTTTCGTTTAATATATTTCCTCGTTTAAGATATAATTAATTATTTTTCTCTTGTTTATTTCGCAGGTGTTCGTATGTTGGATGGCAAAGTTAATGATGTTGTTGAAGCTCAAGCTTTAAGTTTAAATCCTTCTCACATCGATATCTACAGCGCGTCATGGGGTCCTGAGGATGATGGATCGACAGTTGATGGCCCTGGGCCTTTGGCTAGACGTGCTTTTATTTATGGTGTTACCAGTGGTCGTCAAGGCAAAGGATCCATTTTTGTTTGGGCTTCAGGTAATGGTGGACGTTATACGGATTCTTGCAATTGTGATGGTTACACCAATTCCATTTTCACCTTGTCCATCTCTTCGGCCACACAAGGAGGGTGAGTAAAATATACATAATAGAATCTTAATGACAATATAGGCAATTTATGAAAATTCTTTAAAAATGTAGCATTTCCTTCCTTTAATTTTTATTGAATTAATTAATGGCTTTAACACAAAACGATGCTTATAATGAGCTGCAACTAAAATAAAATAATGTTAATATACTAAAATAACAACAACAGAAACAAAATTATGCAAATTATTATAAAATATCAACTTTGTATAATGTTTAATTATGAACACATACATACATACACACCGTTTCACAGACAGACATTTACATTTACAGCAACAATATTTATTTTCAACTTTTTTGTTTTAATTAGTTATTAACAACCGCATAAACATCAATTTTATAGAAATTGTTTTCGAGGAAAAAACTGGTTTAACCAATAAACAATTTTTTTATTTAATAGGTATTATAGTCTATTTGTATTAATTTTAATTTTATTTAAAATGTAATCAACATAAATTTGTAGAGCTTCAAGCTCGGGATGTTGGGCTCTCTTTTCCTCTGCTGTATTTAATGTGTCATTAACATGCAACAACTTGTGCATGTATTAAAACAAATACAAATGCAAATAATTGAAAAAATATATTTTTTCCAATAAAGGTCTTCAAAATATGTATAAACAATATTATATTCATTATTGTATTTAAATAATGGCAGATTTGATCCGCTACGAATGTAGGGAATCCAAAATATAAAATAAATTAAATCTAGAACCGAACTATAACTGAACTAGAACTGAGCTAGAACTGAGCTAGAACTGAGCTAGAACTGAACTAGAACTGAAGTAGAACTGAAGTAGAACTGAACTAGAACTGAACTAGAACTGAACTAGAACTGAACTAGAACTGAACTAGAACTGAACTAGAACTGAACTAGAACTGAACTAGAACTGAATTAGAACTGAACTAGAACTGAACTAAAACTGAACTAGAACTGAACTAGAACTGAACTAGAACTGAAATTAGAACTGAACTAGGAACTGAACTAGAACTGAACTAGAACTGAAACTAGACTGAACGAGAACTGAACTAAACTGAACTGAACTAGAACTGGAACTAGACTGAACTAGAACTGAACTAGAACTGAACTAGAACTGAACTAGAACTGAACTAGACTGAACTAGAACTGAACTAGAACTGAACTAGAACTGAACTAGACTGAAAATAGAATGAACTAGAACTGAACTAGAACTGAAACTAGAACTGAACTAGAACTGAACTAGAACTGAACTAGAACTGAACTAAAGAACTGAACTGAACTAGAACTTAGAACTGAACTAGAACTGAACTAAGACTAGAACTGAACTAAACAGAACTGAACTAGAACTAGAAACTGAACTAGAACTGAAACTAGACTTGATAACTAGAATGACTAGAACTGAAACTAGAACTGACTAGAACTGAACTAGAACTGAACTAGAACTGAACTAGAACTGAACTAGAACTGAACTAGAACTGAACTAGAACTGACTAGAACTGAACTAAAACTGAACTAGAACTGAACTAGAACTGAACTAGAACGAACTAGAACTGAACTAGAACTGAACTGAATAACTAGAACTGAACTAGAAACGAACTAGAACTGAACTAGAACTGAACTAGAACTGAACTAGAACTGAACTAGAACTGAACTAGAACTGACTAGAACTGAACTAGAACTGAACTAGAACTGAACTAGAACTGAACTAGAACTGAACTAGAACTGAACTAGAACTGAACTAGAACTGAACTAGAACTGAATCTAGAACTGAACTAGAACTGAACTAGAACTGAACTAGAACTGAACTGAACTGAACTAGAACTGAACTAGAACTGAACTAGAAATGAACTAGAACTGAACTAGAACTGAACTAGAACTGAACTAGAACTGAACTAGAACTGAAACTAGAACTGAACTAGAACTGAACTAGAACTGAACTAGAACTGAACTAGAACTGAACTAGAACTGAACTAGAACTGAACTAGAACTGAACTAGAACTGAACTAGAACTGAACTAGAACTGAACTAGAACTGAACTAGAACTGAACTAGAACTGACTAACTGAACTAGAACTGAACTAGAACTGAACTAAACTGAACTAGAACTGAACTAGAACTGAACTAGAACTGAACTAGAACTGAACTAGAACTGACTAGAACTGAACTAGAACTGAACTTAGAACTGAACTAGAACGAACTAGAACTGAAACTAGAACTGAACTAGAACGACTAGAACTGAACTAGAACTGAACTAGAACTGAACTAGACTGAACTAGAACTGAACTAGAACTGAACTAGAACTGAACTGAGACTGAACTAGAACTGAACTAGAACTGAACTAGAACTGAACTAGAACTGAACTAGAACTGGAAACTAGAACTGAACGAGAACTGAACTAGAACTGAACTAGAACTGAACTAGAACTGAACTAGAACTGAACTTAGAAACTGAGAACTAGAACTGAACTAGAACTGAACTAGAACTGAACTAGAACTGAACTAGAACTGGAAAACTAGAACTAGAACTAGAACTGAACTAGAAGAACTGAACTAGAACTGACTAGAACTGAACTAGAACTGAACTAGAACTGAACTAGAACTGAACTAGAACTGAACTAGAACTGAACTAGAACTGAACTAGAACTGAACTAGAACTGACTAGAACTGAACTAGAACTGAACTAGAACTGAACTAGAACTGAACTAGAACTGAACTGACTAGAACTGAACTAGAACTGAACTAGAACTGAACTAGAACTGAACTAGAACTGAACTAGAACTGAACTAGAACTGAACTAGAACTGAACTAGAACTGAACTAGAACTGAACTAACTGACTAGAACTGAACTAGAACTGAACTAGAACTGAACTAGAACTGAACTAGAACTGAACTAGAACTGAACTAGAACTGAACTAGAACTGAACTAGAACTGAACTAGAACTGAACTAGAACTGAACTAGAACTGAACTAGAACTGAACTAGAACTGAACTAGAACTGAACTAGAACTGAACTAGAACTGAACTAGAACTGAACTAGAACTGAACTAGAACTGAACTAGAACTGAACTAGAACTGAACTAGAACTGAACTAGAACTGAACTAGAACTGAACTAGAACTGAACTAGAACTGAACTGAACTGACTAGAACTGAACTAGAACTGAACTAGAACTGAACTAGAACTGAACTAGAACTGAACTAGAACTGAACTAGAACTGAAACTGAACTAGAACTGAACTAGAACTGAACTAGAACTGAACTAGAACTGAACTAGAACTGAACTAGAACTGAACTAGAACTGAACTAGAACTGAACTAGAACTGAACTAGAACTGAACTAGAACTGAACTAGAACTGAACTAGAACTGAACTAGAACTGAACTAGAACTGAACTAGAACTGAACTAGAACTGAATAGAACTGAAACTAGAACTAACTAGAACTGAACTAGAACTGAACTAGAACTGAACTAGAACTGAACTAGAACTGAACTAGACTGAACTAGAACTGAACTGAACTAGAACTGAACTAGAACTGAACTAGAACTGAACTAAACTGAACTGAACTAGAACTGAACTAGAACTGAACTAGAACTGAACTAGAACTGAACTAGAACTGAACTAGAACTGAACTAGAACTGAACTAGAACTGAACTAGAACTGAACTAGAACTGAACTAGAACTGAACTAGAACTGAACTAGAACTGAACTAGAACTGAACTAGAACTGAACTAGAACTGAACTAGAACTGAACTAGAACTGAACTAGAACTGAACTAGAACTGAACTAACGAACTAGAACTGAACTAGAACTGAACTAGAACTGAACTAGAACTGAACTAGAACTGAACTAGAACTGAACTAGAACTGAACTAGAACTGAACTAGAACTGAACTAGAACTGAACTAGAACTGAACTAGAACTGAACTAGAACTGAACTAGAACTGAAATAGAACTGAACCAGAACTGAACTAAAAGATTTTTTTGTAAAATGTATGGGCAAAGTATGGCGATGTGTAAAATTTCAAATTCCTTCGTATTTAAAGAAATTTTCAGTAATGTTAACATAGCTTTTTACAGGGTCGTTGTTGATCAACTTTATATTCTGCTATTAGGTTTTTTTTTTCTCAATTTCCTTTAAAATAAAATAATATTTAATACATTTACCATACAGTTAATGAAAACACTAACAACCAAACGCAACGACAATAGCAACAAGAGCTATAACAACAACATCAACATTATCAAAAACATAATACACAATGACCATAAACACCAACAAACCCTAATTGGCAATTATAAGCATTTTAATTTGTTATAAACCAATAAATACGTATTTAATATTAAAATACAAAAAAAAAACACCACAAATATTATAAAAATGAAAATAAATTTTTCGCTTTTTTTAATAAGTAATTAATATGTTAAATGTAAACCTGTGTTATTATAAGAAGGCGAATAAAATGGAACTTTTACAGCAAATTGGGGGGCAAAAGTGTGAAGTACTGAAATTTATACTAATTAATAGTAGCAAACCCTTACCTTAGTCACAATTAAATGTTACATAATATTTTTTTATGTTTTTAATGCAAATTAATTTGCTATCAAAATCCAGCAAATTACGATAAGATTTTATTAAAGCGATTATAAATTTAATGACAATTAAAATGATTAATCTACCATTAATTAATTATACATTTATCTTTGCAAAAACATTGAAACATTAATGAAAACATTAATTAATGCAATTTTATTATTTTTATCAATTTACAGCTTTAAACCCTGGTATTTGGAAGAATGTTCTTCTACCTTGGCTACCACCTACAGTTCTGGTACTCCTGGTCATGACAAGAGTGTAGCTACTGTTGATATGGATGGCCGTCTAAGACCCGATCACATTTGTACAGCCGAGCATACTGGTACCTCTGCATCGGCTCCTTTAGCTGCTGGCATCTGCGCCTTGGCTTTGGAGGCAAATCCCAATCTAACCTGGCGTGACATGCAATATTTGGTGGTCTATACTTCCAGACCTTCACCTTTGGAAAAGGAAGCTGGCTGGATGTTGAATGGTGTAAAACGCAAGTACAGTCACAAATTCGGTTATGGTTTAATGGATGCCGGAGCCATGGTCTCGTTGGCCGAGCAATGGTCTACTGTGCCACCCCAACATATTTGCAAATCGCGTGAGAATAATGAAGATCGTAAAATTGAAGGAACTTATGGTTATACTTTGGCTACTCACATGGATGTTAATGGCTGTGCTGGAACTATTAATGAAGTACGCTATTTGGAACATGTACAATGTAGAATCACTTTGAGATTCTTCCCTCGCGGTAATTTACGCATACTCCTAACCTCTCCTATGGGCACTACCAGTACCCTGTTGTTTGAGAGACCTAGAGATATTGCTAAATCCAATTTCGATGACTGGCCTTTCTTGAGTGTTCATTTCTGGGGTGAAAAGGCTGAGGGTAGATGGACTTTACAGATTATTAATGGCGGTCGTAGACGTGTCAATCAACCGGGTATTTTATCTAAATGGCAATTGATTTTCTATGGTACTGCCGTCCAGCCAATGCGTTTAAAAAGTGATTTAGTTTCCCAGCCTGTTTATACGTATCCCACGGAATCCGATTTGGGACAACCTTTGAGTGCTGATCAGTTTACAAGTTTTTTAAATTTTCAAAATCTCTATACCGGAGCCGGTTCTAATCCAGAGCAGGCTGTAACTACCGTAGATGGTCATAATATTCCCACACCTCAAAGACAAAATGTCATGGCCGATTCGAATAATAAGCTGGTGTTGCATGACTGTGATCCTGAGTGTGATTCGCAGGGTTGTTATGGCCGGGGACCGACTCAGTGTGTGGCCTGTAAACATTATCGTTTGGATAAGTAAGTAGAAAATGATCATATCCCAAAAATATATATAGAATCGTTTCTCTAAAAAGAAACATTTACGAAAATGTTCCATAAAAACAAACGTTCCATAAAAGAAATACGAAAATATTATTTAAAAAGTGAAAATTTGAAACACAAATTTTAAAATTCAAATTTTTCTTTAAAAAGATAAAATTTCCTAAAGTTTTCTGTAAAAAGAAACATTTTCTATAAAAAAAGATTTTTCGAAAATTTACCATAACAAGAGAAATTTGTGAAAATATTCTTTAAAACGAAAGAAATTCTTCGAAACTTCGAAATAAAAGGAATTCTTTGAAAATACGAAATAAAAAGTGAAATTATTCGAAAATTCGGAACAAAAAGGGAAATTCTTCAAAAATTCGGAATAAAAAGAGAAATTTTCCGAACATTTTTCTATAAAAAGAGAAATTTTTTCTATAAAAAGAGAAATTTTCCGAAAATTTTTCTATAGAAAAGAGAATTTTTCCGATAATTTTTTATAGAAAAGAGAATTTTTCGGAAAATTTTCTATAGAAAAGAGAAATTTTCCGGAAATTTTCTGTAGAAAAGATACATACATTTTCTGTAGAAAAGATAAATTTTCCAGAAATTTTCTATAGAAAAGAGAAAAATGTCTATAGAAAAGAGAAGTTTTCCGAAAAATTTCTATAGAAAGGAGAAGTTTTCCGAAAAATTTCTATAGAAAAGAGAAATTTTCCGAAAAATTTCTATAGAAAAGAGAAATTTTCCGAAAAATTTCTATAGAAAAGAGAAATTTTCCGAAAATTTCTATAGAAAAGAGAAATTTTCCGAAAAATTTCTATAGAAAAGAGAAATTTTCCGAAAAATTTCTATAGAAAAGGGAAATTTTCCGAAAAATTTCTATAGAAAAGAGAAATTTTCCGAAAAATTTCTATAGAAAAGAGAAATTTTCCGAAAATTTTCTATAGAAAAGAGAAATTTTCCGAAAATTTTCTATAAAAAAGAGAAATTTTCCGAAATTTTTCTATAAAGAGAAACTTTCCGAAAATTTCATATAAAAAGAAAAATTTTCCGAAAATTTTCTATAAAAAAGGAGAACTTTTCTATAAAAAAAAAAAGAAATTTTCCGAAAATTTTCTATAGAAAAGAGAAATTTTCCGAAAATTTTCTATAAAAAAGAGAAATTTTCCGAAATTTTTCTATAAAGAGAAACATTCCGAAAATTTCCTATAAAAAGAAAAATTTTCCGAAAATTTCCTATAAAAAAGAAAAATTTTCCGAAAATTTTCTATAAAAAATAAAAATTTTCTATAAAAAAGAAAAACTTTTCTATAAAAAAGAGAAATTTTCCGAAAATTTTCTATAAAAAAGAGAAATTTTCCGAAAATTTTCTATAAAAAAGAGAAATTTTCCGAAAATTTTCTATAAAAAAGAGAAATTTTCCGAAAATTTTCTATAAAAAAGAGAAATTTTCCGAAAATTTTCTATAAAAAAGAGAAATTTTCCGAAAATTTTCTATAAAAAAGAGAAATTTTCCGAAAATTTTCTATAAAAAAGAGAAATTTTCCGAAAATTTCCGAACATTTTCTATAAAAAGTGAAATTTTCCGAAAATTTTTTGTAAGAACAGAAATTTTCCGAAAAATTTCTGTAAAAAGAAAGAATTTTCTATAAATAGCGAAATTTTCTATAAAAAGAGACATTTTCTAAGATTTTCTATAATGAAAGATACATAAGCTGTAAATAATTTTATATGAGAAAGAAAAAAATATGTCAACTTTGTCTTTCTTTTTACAGCACCTGTGTCAGCCGTTGTCCTCCGCGTTCCTTCCCCAACCAAGGTGGTGTCTGCTGGCCTTGTCATGAGTCTTGTGAAACCTGTGCTGGTGCCGGTCAAGATAGCTGTTTAACTTGTGCTCCTGCTCATTTGCATGTAACAGATTTGGCTGTTTGTCTACAAGTTTGTCCTGAAGGATATTATGAAAGTAAGTGCAAGTCAGGAAGGAGACAAAAAAAAATCCCATAAATCTTTAATATTTGATAAATTTTACTAAATATATTCTCTTACATTGCAGATTATGATAATAAAACTTGTGTGCCATGTGAAGCTAATTGTGGTTCATGTCAAGATCGTCCCGATTATTGTACATCATGTGAACATCATTTAGTTATGCATGAGCATAAATGTTTCTCCTCGTGTCCTCTGCATACCTATGAAACTGAAGAATACAAGTAAGTTTTCTATTTGAGATACATTATGATTTTATGTTTTAATATTCTATGAAAAGTAAATGATATTCTAAAAGCCAAGGGGTAGAAGGTTTTTGTTAACAAAATATTGCTTTATATTTTGTTATCTTCAGGAGTTTTGCTGGAGATTAAGTATGCGTCTTTTTTAGTCTATAAAATTTATAACAAGTTTGGTGAACAAAATGTTAAGTAATTTATTATAGTTTTGTGCTATTCTTATGAAACATATAGTAGGTGAAGAAGAAATTGAAGTTTTTGTTTATAAATCCTTTGCACTATAAACTTTCTTTATGCATAATTATACATAGAAACTACTTATCTTACACCTTGACACTTTTCCTCTTGCAAAACTTAACTCAAATGTTTTTTTGTAGACATACCTATACCTATACTAGCTAACACATCCTTGTGTATGTGCAAGGATATATACATAAATGTACGCTTAAGTAATAGGAGTACAACAAGTGCCTCATTAGTGTTGGTGGAAAAAGCATTTAATTCTTCAAAAAACACAGTATGCCAGGAGTCATTATACTTACAATAACTACTACTACAACTACTACTTGGAAATAATAACTGAAACTAACACTGCCCTGTAGTAAGAGGAGACTTTCCACATAAATGAAACAAAATTTTCTATAATTTTATAGAAAGTATTGAGAAATTTTAGAGAAGTTTGTATAAAACTAAAAAATTTTCGAAAATTATATAGATGCTTATTTGATATGTATAAAAACCTGGCTAAAAAGGATATATTGACTCTTTGTAAATTTGCTGGGTATAACCTTCAACACTGTGTATGCTTTTTATTATAAAGCGTAATAGTGTGTCTTTGTATATATCATTTGATATAATGTTTGTTTCTATATCATGTTATAATTACTTGAATTTATACACTGTTACCACACCATGTTGATATGTAGTTTCAAATCATTATATTTTATCCACCCAACCATTCGTGTATGTAAAATTATAAACTTCAAACATTTTCATAATTTTACCCCTATAATCTTATAGAGGATCATGTAACTATTGAAAATTACATGATACTCTTACACTATATGAACGTTTAGCCCTGCAGTTAAGGAAAACCTAACCCATGTTCAAAGTGCTGTGTTTATATACTTTAGATTACTTGAGACACCAAAATAAAGATTTATTGAGTTAACTTAGGTTGTAAAAGGAGAGTCAGATGTGTAAAATGTATAAAATCGAACCACCGAAATAATACTTCCTAAACAGATGGTTATCGTTGCTATATATACATATAAGCTTTAATTACAAAGTTTTATACACATATGTACATACTTATGTATAAATATAAGCATGTGTTAGTATGTTTATATAACACGCTTGTTAAGTACAGCTAGAGGTTAAGTTTGTCATTTATACTACAAGTGGAAGTGAGATTCTTAAAAGAAAATTTTAATAGTTGAGTTTTTTAATATTTTCTAAAAGAAAATGGTGAAGAATTAAGATAAAGGAATGTTTGTGGTCCTTTATTAATTACTGTGTCTTTTTAAAAGAAAATTTTTTAAATATTTTCTTCAAAAAAAAAAATAAATATTCAAATTCTCGAAAATGTCTTATTATATAAATTTTCCTAAAATTTACAAAAAACAATTTTCCAAAAGTAAAAAGACATATTTTCTATAAAAAACAGAAATTTTCCAAAAATTTTCTATAAAAAACAGAAATTTTCCAAAAAATTTCTATAGAAAAGAGAAATTTTCCAAAAAAATTTCTATAGAAAAGAGAAATTTTCCAAAAAATTTCTATAGAAAAGAGAAATTTTCCGAATATTTTCTATAGAAAAGAGAAATTTTCCGAATGTTTTCTATAGAAAAGAGAAATTTTCCGAATATTTTCTATAGAAAAGAGAAATTTTCCGAAAATTTTTTATAGAAAAGAGAAATTTTCCGAAAATTTTCTAAAGAAAAGAGAAATTTTCCGAAAATTTTCTATTTCCGAAAATTTTCTATAGAAAAGAGAAATTTTCCGAAAAATTTTCTATAGAAAAGAGAAATTTTCCGAAAAATTTTCTATAGAAAAGAGAAAATTTCCGAAAAATTTTCTATAGAAAAGAGAAAATTTCCGAAAAATTTCTATAGAAATGAGAAAATTTCCGAAAAATTTCTATAGAAATGAGAAAATTTCCGAAAAATTTCTATAGAAATGAGAAAATTTCCGAAAAATTTCTATAGAAATGAGAAAATTTCCGAAAAATTTCTATAGAAAAGAGAAAATTTCCGAAAAATTTCTATAGAAAAGAGAAAATTTCCGAAAATTTTCTATAGAAAAGAGAAAATTTCCGAAAATTTTCCATAGAAAAGAGAAAATTTCCGAAAATTTTCTATAGAAAAGAGAAAATTTCCGAAAATTTTCTATAGAAAAGAGAAAATTTCCGAAAATTTTCTATAGAAAAGAGAAAATTTCCGAAAATTTTCTATAGAAAAGAGAAATTTTCCGAAAATTTTCTACAGAAAAGAGAAATTTTCCGAAAATTTTCTACAGAAAAGAGAAATTTTCCGAAAATTTTCTATAGAAAAGAGAAATTTTCCGAAAATTTTCTATAGAAAAGAGAAATTGTCTATAAAAAAGAGAAATTTTCCAAACATTTTCTATAAAAAAGAGAAATTTTCTGAAAATTTTCTGTAAAAGGGAGAAATTTTCCGAAATTTTTCTATAAAAAAGAGAAATTTTCCGAAATTTTTTATAAAAAAGAGAATTTTTTCGCAAATATTCTATAAAAAGAGAAATTTTCCGAAAATTTAACATAAAAAAGAAATTTCCCAAAAGTTTAAAAAAAAAGCTAAAATTTTTTTTAAATTTTTTTAAACAAAATTTTTTTTTTTGCAAAATTTCTATAAAAAGTGTAATGTTGGACGATAATCTTTTGTAAGTTTATTGCCACACTAATATTCATAAATCTATTATGATTCCTAAAATCGTTTTCTTATTTTTTATTTTTCTTCTATTCTTTTAAACGTCATACCATTTCAATAACAATTTTCCTAGAAATTAATTAATAAATTACAATCATTTTATACATTTCGTACATTTTATTAAAACTAGAATACACTTCAAATATAAATTCAATTATAAAAATAAATTTTCTTTTAATACATACACTCAAATAAATTGGGTTTTTCTTAGTACAACTACAGGAAACAGTTGAACAAACTAACCACAATAAGAAAACAATTAAAATTCAATTACCTGGCAAGAGGGAGTGCAAATGACAACTATGTAGACTTTTAGATTTTTTTTTTTTTTTTCATTTAACGAACACAAACCATAAATTCCTATTAAGTTGCTATATGTCTTAAACACAAACCCACAAAAATTAAAAATAACACACTCACAGAGGAAGGCAATGCAGGTGTTGTCATAATATTTGAGAGTTGCTCTTTTAACAACTTTTCTATAGAAAAAGTTGCTCAGTTGCTGACAACTTTTCTAAGAAAAAGTTGCTTAGTTACAAGGAACTTTTCTATACAAAAAGTTGCAGACAACTTTTCTATAGAAAAATATTAAAATATGCTCTTTCTGATTTCTACAAGAAAAGTGAAAAGTGACAACTTTACTATAGAAAAAGTTGCTCAATTACTGACAACTTTTCTGTAAAAAAAAGTTGATTAGTTACAGGCAACTTTTCTATAGAAAAAGTTGCTTAGTTGCAGCCAAATTTTCTATAGGAAAAGTTGTTCAATTACTCTCATCTTTTCTATACAAAAAGCTGCTTAGTTACAGGCAACTTTTCCATAGAAAAAGTTGCTTAGCTACAGGCAACTTTTCCATAAAAAAGTTGCTTACAGAAAGTTACAGAAAACTATTCTATAGTAGAAGTTGCTTAGTTACAGACATTTTTACTATAGAAAAAGTTATCCAGTTACTGAAAACTCTTCTATAGAAAAAGTTGCTCAATTACTGACAACTTGTCATTGGGACAAATTGCTAAGTTGCTAATAAAGTTGATCATCTATTGGCTACGTTTCTATATAATAAGGTTCATAACTAGAAATAGTTTATTGACGCAATATTTTAGCCTGAGCTGGTTAATATTACCACTAAACCTTATTTATATATTACGGTTCTTTTGTAATTCACATCTCAAGCTAGTCTGACCAGCTGTTAATAAAACAATAAACAGCAAACAATCTGTATAAAATTAACCCATTAAAATCAGACAGAGCAAAAAAATCTAAACTAATAAACTATTTACATTTTCCTTAACCCCAATTAAATCAATGTCAGTTTACTAATATCTGTAACAAAAGAGTTATTTAAAGGGTTAACTTGGGTTCATTTAAAACCATGTGTTAAGTACATATGTATGTATGTAAATTAATTTTTATAAAAAAAATTATGTATGTGTGGACATTCAGTCAGATGCTGGTATCTTTATACTCTCAAATATTTGTGTTTAATTTTATCCATCTCTTCCCGACAACCGACAAAAACGAACCTGCACATGTACAACTTATTCCTTTCTTCATTTACTCACTCGTTCGTTCGCTCATGCATACATTTTGACTTTGAAGAATCTGCATTTGACTGGCATGTTATTTTTCAGTTTTTATACAAGTCTTTGTTTCTTCATTTTTTCTATTTTATGAATTTTTGTTAACCATAATATTTGACATGCAATTTTGCAAATATGTCATATTTATTTAAAATTTTTGTTGTATGTTTTCAATATTTATTCCATACAATCTAAATTATAATGGATTTTCCTTGATTGTTGTTAAATTTTCTATGCAGATTAAAGTTTTAATTAGGGGCTTTCGCCTGAAATACAGACAAGTTTCTCAACTACTTTTCTTTTGAAAAAGTTGCTCAGTTACTGACAACTATTCAATGAAAAAGTTGCTCAGTTACTGACAACTTTTCTATAGAAAAAGTTGCTCAGTTACTAACAACTTTTCTATAGAAAAAGTTGCTCAGTTACTAACAACTTTTCTATAGAAAAAGTTGCTCAG